AGGGCCCTGGGGGGCTCAGGGCTGCTGCCCAGCCAGGTGCTCCTTGTTCCCAGTCGGAGTGTGACGGCTTGTCTCTCTCCCTGCTCCAGGCTCACGACGAGGTCTGTCAGAAGTTCCCGCTGCAGTGCGAGGGGTGTGGGAAGAAGAAGATCCCGCGGGAGAAGGTCAGTGTCTTTCCTGCTGATCCGGCCTACTCCAGCGTTCCTGCTCTCCTGTCTGCACTGTGGCTCGGGAGCTGGGGGAGGGGAGGGCCGGCGTCATGATCACAAGCCCTACGATTCTGCATTCAATACTCAGGTCAGGGCTGGGAGGAGGACAGGAACCTGACTTTATTTAAACCCACCTGGATGGGCAGCTCGTTCTAGACTTCACCCTGAGCAGAGCCATTTATCAGCATCTCCCTTCCAGCTTATTGTGGGAGGATCCGCCCCTCACCTTAAACAACCTCCAGAACAGCCGATCCGCGGTGTCCCAGACTCCTAACCGTGATCACACTCGCTGGGAGTTTTATCTCCCTGGGAAATGACACCCTTCTGTTATCGTAACCGCGCTATTTCAAAAGCTGAAAGTCCCTCCCTCATCACTTGCGGTATCGGTGTGACCAGCAGCGCGATGCTGCAGAGGCGTTTCTGGTAAAAGGATATCCTGCCTTGACTGGCGAGACGGGACGTTCCAGGAAGGAAGAGGGAGGGGCAGCGAGGCCCCGGGGCCCTGTTCCCCTCTGACTCTGCCCTCCCCCTGCCCTGGCGCCAGGCCCGCAGGGCACACGTCTGTCCTGCGTGACACTGATGGACAGGCTGGAAGTCCCCCTTTCCAGTCAGGAGGGAAAACAACACAAAAGTTCAATATTAATAATAACCGAGTCCCTTCCTACCTGCCCAGCACTCTGGGATTTTTCGAAGTGCCTGCAGGAATTTTTTAGCCCATATTACCGTTACATGAGACCTTGACTGTGCATGACTGTTAAACACTGTAGCTTTATTATTATTATATCTCTATCTACATATTTATTTAACTGCTTCTCTGCACCTTCCACAGTTCTCTGACCACATCAGATCCTGCGGGAAGTTTAAAGCCGCATGCCGGTTCAGTGTGGTGGGCTGCAGTGCTGTGGTGAGTACTGACCGGACGACCCGACCCGGTAAGGACGAGACAGACAGGATGGCCTGTCCAGGCTGTGGGACTGGGCAGGGAGATCGAATGGGAGCTGGGCTGCCAGGCAGAGGAGAAGCTGATTGTGTTTAGGCAATCCTGGCGTGAACACAGATCCACAATGAAGCAACAAAAGACTTGCAGCTGTGTTCACTTTTTCTTCTGAAATGAATGCTCCTGTATTTATCCCATGACTTCATTCTGGGATAAGAGACACAATGGCTGCTGTCTGAGCGCCGTGACTTCAGGGTCGCCCTGTGACCTGCAGGTGACCTGTGCTTGACCTCACCGTAGACCCACCCCTTTGGAGAGGCAGTGATGGGGGAGCTGCACTGACCTCTGACCCGGAAGGAAAGTCAGTGATCCCCCAGCAAGGCTGAAAACGTTGCAGTTATAGCAGGATACCCCCAGAGAGGGATAGAATTGACCATACCAGGACCCTGACCATTCCATCTTCGGATCAAAAGAACCTGGAACGCTGTCATGGGGCTCCCGTGTGGGTCTGGTGCTGTGGTCCCTCACTCTCCCTGCAGCACTGGTCTGATGAGCAGCTGGTGATTCCTAACAGGGTGGGTGTTAAATAGCAAATGGAAGCACAATCTCAGAAAAATCATCTCAATATTAAATCCCAATCCCCTTCTCCGGTCCCCTCAGCGGGCTGTTGGCTGCTGCCTGCTCTGCTGTGGAAATGGCTTCAGGCTGAAAGCACTGCGTTGGCTGCCTGAGCTTCTCTGAACTAGCAGAGACAAATGCACGGAGGAATTCCCCTTGGTCTGAGTCAACGGTCAAGAACTGGATATCATATTGCATTCTAGCTCTCTTCCTGGTTAACTTCACAACCACAGTAAGAATGACTTCAGCCTATTAACATTATTCAAGAGCTCATGAAATACATTTTATTTAGTGCCTGAGGATAAATGGCAAAGGATTAGATGCAGGCGAACACTGCTCCCCTTGCTACAAGAATCATCCTTGTTAACAGGTAGATGTGCCACCTTCTAGAGCCGACTGCAAAGAAATAGACAACTATTCCTCTTTACAATCAAGGTGCTGATGCTCTCAGGAGACACCTCACACAAGCCCCTCCCCCAGCACAGCCCCAGTGTTATCAGTTTCACCCGGATTGAACACTGAAGAGCACAGCTGTGAGCGGTTTAATATTGGGAACTAAAACTGAAGATTCATTCAGTTCCTGAGAGCAAGAGTCACAGAGGAACAGAGCGATTTCAATTCAGTTCTTAGTATCAACTCACGGCCAGGAAAAGCTACTTCTGGATGAATTGCTCACCTTTTCGCTGAGCAGATATTCCCTTTCCCTGCCGATGAGCCCAGCCCTGTGGGACTAGAGCCACAGTGAGTCTCTGCACAGCCTCTGGCTTCAGGTCCTTCCTGCTGCGCCTGTATCTGCAGGACCCGAGTCTCAGGCTGACGCTGGAGGGCTCGGCCCTCCTCTCCAACAGCTGCAGCCGAGACAGGGCTGTGTAACAGGGGAGAAACGAGAAGAAACAACAGTTTTGCTTCTGTTTTCTGCATTTAAGACATTTTTTAAGGTGGAATGAAAATCCCTTCCCCTTCTCGGTGTTCCTCCCTGCTGGTTTTCAAACGAAGGCTTGTGTGATCGGTTCCTAACTGCCAGCTGTGGGACATGCAGCCAGAGGTGGGAGGGCTGTGGGAGCCTGCACTCTTGTGCTGTGGCAGTGCCAGGCTCCGGATGGCGCTGTGCTGACAGCGGGTGTGGCCTGTCTGGGTTGCAGCTGGAGAATGAGAAGCAGAGCGAGCACGAGCAGTCCAGCGCTCAGGAGCACCTGGCCCTGCTGCTGTCCGCGGTGAGCGGCCTGAGGCAGCTGGCGGCGCTGCCGGAGACGGACATGGCCCTGGGTCTGTACCGGGCCCCCGAGGACGGGCCGCCCCCCAAGGCCGCCGCCTGGGCCGGGCTGGCGCAGAAGCTGGGCGCCCTGGAGAACATCGTGTGCGTGCTGAACCGCGAGGCGGAGCGGAACGCACTCAAGCTGGAGGCCTTCGCCCGGCAGCACCGGCTGGACCAGGAGAAGATCGAGAACCTCACCAACAAGGTAGGTGCTCATGGGATAGCAGCGGCTCGCTCGTGGGTGCACGCCGATCTCGAGCCAGTGTGCTCATGGGACAGCGGTGTCTTGTTGGTGCGCGCACGCCGATCTCGAGCCAGTGTGCTCATGGGACAGCGGTGTCTTGTTGGTGCGCGCCCCCCGCAGGTGCGGCAGATAGAGCGCTCCGTGGCCATGAAGGAGCTGCTGCTGGCCGAGACGGAGCAGCAGTTGCGCGAGCTGGAGTACTGCACCTACGACGGCGTCTTCATCTGGAAAATCACCGACTTCACGCGCCGCCGCCAGGACGCCGTCGCTGGCCGCGCCCCTGCCTTGTTCTCGCCAGGTCAGTGGGGACAGTCCGGATCGCAGGGGGGGGCAGCTGGGCGGGCGAGGGCGGGACGTGCACTAACACCGGTCCCCCTGCCCTCTCCCCCCCCAGCCTTCTACTCCAGCAAGTACGGCTACAAGATGTGCCTGCGCCTCTACCTGAACGGCGACGGCACGGGGCGCGGCACACACCTGTCCCTGTTCTTCGTGGTGATGAGAGGCAAGAACGACGCCCTGCTCAAGTGGCCCTTCAGCCAGAAGGTGGGCAGCGCTTCCAGTGCGCCCGAGTACGCCTCTCTCCGGGGGTCTTCTCCCCCTCTCTCATTCTCTCCCCCTCCTCTCCCTCGCTCTCCCTCCAGGTGACCCTGATGCTGCTGGACCAGAACAACCGGGAGCACATCATCGACGCCTTCCGGCCCGACGTCACCTCCTCCTCCTTCCAGCGGCCCGTCAGCGAGATGAACATCGCCAGCGGCTGCCCGCTCTTCTGCCCGCTGTCCAAGCTGGGGGGCAAGAGCTCCTACCTGCGGGACGACACCATCTTCATCAAGGCCATCGTGGACCTGACCGGGCTGTGAGGCTCGGGTACTGGTGCCGCCCGGCCCGTCAGAGCTCCCCTGGGCGCCGCGACCTCTGACCCGGCTGGCAGGGCTGTGCAGCTGGAGCTGGCACCCAGCTTGGCACAGAGGCCAGGCAGTGTGAGTCAGGCTGCTGATAGTGAGAATGACACAACAACCTGGATTTACCTGGCTAGATAGAGAACTGGAACATACTGTATAAATAGAAGCAAAGTCTTGGCGCAGATGTGGCTCCTCTGCAGGCCTGGGAGAACGTGGGGGCGCAGGTCCCCTCTGAGGGCAGGCAGGTCCGCACCGCCAGTGAGGGAGGGGGAGCCCCACAGACTCAGACCTTGGTGCGAGAGGGAGAACAGGAAAAAATAAGAAATGCGGTACACCCCCTTAAACGTCACACGCTGTCATTTCTTCAAACACAGAAACAAGTTATGAGTCGTCGCCCGCTTGCTGTAAGGAGAAATAAGTGGGAGCAGAGGCTGAGTGTTTGGTTCTGAGCTGTTGGAAAGTGACTCGGGGACGGTCCCCACCGCCACCTCCACCCCTCGGCTCAGGCAGCCTCAGCCCAGCACCGCGAGGGGGAGAAGAGCAGTGAGCGCCTGTCTGATCGTCAGCGGGACGGTCCCGGGTTCCAGCAGCCCGTGTGCTTCTCGTAGTGCTCCTCCTGCCTCTCATTCTCCTCACCACAGCCAGAGACCTGTTAGGAATAATGATGATATTATGTCTAATAATGATAAATATATTATTTGTGCACAGTGGCTGTGCACAATTATTGTGGGGATTTACTGGGAAAGCTTTAGAGAGGGGAATTTTGACTGAGCAGTGGGCGTACAGCACCCATGCAGGAGGAGAGCTCAGGTGGTTTGGTCCAGGTGTTGGCGTGGCAACGCCTCACTGGATACAGGGTGGCCTTGACTAAAATCTCCATCAGCACCCGAGCCCCGAGACAAACACTGAAGTGAATTCAGTGTGCTCTCTGGGCAGACCCTGCTCCGGCAGGCGTGTCCCGCGGCAGGTTCTCGTACACAGCTCAAAAAGACAAAGCAAAAAAGTCAGGATGTTTAATATGAACCTCTGTAACACCTGCGCTCGGCATCCGTACAGCAGCCTACAGCCAGCAGTCGTGGGGCCCAGCTGTGCAGCGGGGGTCTAAGCTGCATTCTGCACTCGACGTGCTTCTCAAGGAGGCGGAGAGAAAGAGAGAGGCAGACAGGGAGTCCTATTCTCCACATAGAACCAAAAAAACACAATTCTCTGCTTACTGGAAAAAAAAAAAACTTTAATTAGCAATTTAACAAAAACTTATGTGTGGGAAATTTCAGCAGTTTCCTGGATCAAACTTATCACACCCTGTGAGCGGACAGTGGTCGGTCTGCGCGATACCGGGGGTAGGGGGCGCCAGTGAGCTGCCAATGAAGTGGATCCATTGGGCAGAGGCGTGAAGACAGTGAGGGGTCTGGCCCGGCCAGCTCCAGCTGTTCGCTCTCTCTCCTTCTCTCCCAGCACGCAGCAGGGCAGGCCCATACCAGATCATTAACCATCTATATTTCATACTCTTAATGATAATAATAATTATAATAATAATAAATCTGTGAGTTCATTATGCATGCATTTTACATAATGAATTATATTTTTAAGGACTGGGGAATAACAAGGACAGAGAGAGACAGGAGAGCTCTGTTACAAAAGATAGATGGAAACGAGGTTGAGAAACCAAAAAATGATAGAATATGAAGTATAACTCACAAAAAAAGCCGTCTGTTATTGAACATGGTGCAGTCGCTTGTGTAAGACTTAGTTTCAGTGTGCTACAGTGTAACAGAGAGGAAACTACAGTACTATTACTGCACAGATGTCCAGGTATAGCATAAAGAGACCCCAAAACGACACTTACAAAAACAGCACTGATTTATTTAAAATATAATAAGAAATCTAACAAAGAATATTAAAAAAACTAAAAAGCAAAAAAACATATAGCTAAAATTCAATTCAATTTATTTTTATATAGCGCCTTTCACAACAAGGTTGCCCCAAGGCATTTAACAAGCAAGTGACCATACTGTGCATGTAGTGAATACAGAAAATGTGTATGTTGCCTACATAACACAGTAGAAGCAGGGCTATTAAGAAATTATGTATTTAAGAGTTTATGTATTTAGTGTTGTCAGGAAGAGGCCAGATCACAGCATCCATCGTTCTGTCACCCCAGGGCTGTGCTCTGGGCACAGTGAGAGCGTGTGGGAGCTGTGAAGTCTCACTTCTGCTGTCCAAGAGGCACAGAGCCTGTAACCCACACCTCTGAACATCTAGCTGCAGGAGTCCTAGTTAATTACAAAGGCTGGTACCTGGGTAAATGGAAAAAATGATCTAATGCAAGCTAATCCTTGGATTAGGATCCATACTTAATATTTAATATATGTTTTGCTTAATAGGCTTAATGCAATGGACATTAACGTCTCGGTGCCTGTTTTTTTTTAGATCATTTTATCGAATTGTACTTTGCGTTCCAGATACCTAGAGTGCTACTAATTGATCTGTTTCAAGGTCTGTCGGGTGGCGATCACCTTGGAAGACACTCTGTTCAGACTCTACTCACGGCAGTGTATCGTATATTTATTTCATTAAACAGTTTCATCAGTGCCATGTTGAGTTGTTTCATGTTCACCTCAAAAGCCTGTGTCCAGTGTAAAACCCAACACAAGGTCCACTGGGGAGACGTACACACGATCCTCAGGGCTTCAGTTCAGGAGACTGTACAGGACCCGTCACCCCTGACTGAACAGTTGGCTGTAAAAGGTGCCACAGTGGTTATACTGGCTGTACTGGCTGCACAGCCACATCCAGAATGACCAGTTACAGCACATCCTGGAGCAGCGGGTCCTTCTTACCTGTTACAGGTGGACCAGCACCGTCTGGGTTTACGAGCCATAAAGGAAAGTACTCTATATTTCACATGCATTTCCTGCCAGTTAGGTTAACTGGCATCTCTTTATTGCCCCGGTGAGTTTATCTGCCCTGCGACAGTCTGGCCTTCCATTCCAGGGGTAGGTCTGTCTCCAGCCACTGCAGGAGCCCCGTCCTCCAGCCCTGTGCAGCTGCAGAGCTCTGCTGCCACCTGCTGGAGACGTCCGCACTAACAGGCCACAGTGCCACCTGCTGGACAGCAACAGCGCTGTAGACTCAGGCTACTGCAGGGGGCTCCTTGCTGGACAGGGAACTTGAGAAGGAATGGGGAGAAATTAAACCAATATCTTGTTCCTTCAGCAAGAGAACCACCACCATCACAAGCTTGCAGATTTATCATGACTTTATTTAAAAACTCCAGGCTGGCTAAAGCTCCACACAGCAAGGCAAGTGACCAGTGTGGGTCAGTGGTGAGAGTTACAGCGCACCCTGGCTCACAAGAGCTGGCCGTTTAAAACCAACAGTAACCAGGCAGAGTGAAGTCCTGCCTCCTCACTGCAGGAGAATCCAGTCCAGGGCTGTCAGAGTGACCAGGGTCCTGCCGGCCCTTCTCGAGTTGCTCTTTGTCAGTTAGGAGGTCAATGGGGCTCGACCAGCCAGTCAGTCCGCTGATCGGATCACTCAGTGCCTACTGATCGAAACTGGAAGTAAAATATTTTTGGTTTGGTGTGAAAGTCACACCAGGAGCACTGTGCTCTCCTCAGAGCTGCGCTCTGTACAAACCTCCAAGGCACTGTGCTCTCCTCAGAGCTGCGCTCTGTACAAACCTCCAAGGCCTGGGGCTCTCTTCCCTATACCAACACCGAGCCGTCATCAGTACCGCTGCAGCACAACACTCTGGCTTCCCGCTCCTGCGGACCTGCCGAATTATTCGCTCAGCTGGACACAGGCAAACGGTTCTGAAGGTGTTTTTTTAAACCGGTGATTCCAAAAACAAACCTGATTCGAGCTACAGTGGCTCTGGAGTCTTTTTACACCCCACGGCTTGTTCTACTGCACAACTGAAACCACCTGACTCGACAAGAGGCTGAGGACCTGACAGCCCTGCTGCCGGGACAGGCAGCTCACCAGCGCCTCCTGCTGTCAGCGAGACAGATCAGAAGTTATTACCATTATTAGTAGTAGTATTATTAAAGAGCAGAAGCAACAGCAGGTACGACACGGAAGGCACACAGACCCGTCTCAACATGAACACACACGCACAGACTGGCTTCAGCCCCAGCTGTGTAAATTCATGGACCTGGTGAAGCCATACGGCGTGACGCCTCCTGGACACTGGACAGATTCAGCCCAACAGTAAAGAAGCTGTTCCAGAGACTCGGCAGTCCTCCCCCATCCCCGTGGCATTGCTCTCGCTTGGCCCCTGAAGCCTGATCCCATCCTGCATCCTGACACATCACAGCCCCCCTCCCTCTGCACGAGTCCATCCAGCCGAACAGCAGGGAGACCGGAGAGGAGAACTGCGGGATCTACTGGCACAACTGCGGCAGCTCCAGGAAAAGAGCAACAAATCCCCCTTTTCAGTTTGAAAACAAGCGGAGAGGAGAAGGAGGAGAGGGCAGACCCGTCCGTGCCCACCCCTCGCCCGCTGCCTCCTGCTGCTCCAGTCCGCCGGGCTCCGGCCCGGCTCTAGCGGGGTCTGCCGCCGAGCCAGGAGAACAGCGTTCGGCGCGGGCGGGCCTGGCGGCGCTGCTCGGCCGCCAGCCGGGTGGCGCGTGGCGAGCGCCACACCTTGACGGTGCCGTCGTCGCTGGCGGACAGCAGCAGCTCCTGGTCGGCCGGGCAGAAGGCCACCGAGTTCACCACGTCGTCGTGCTGCAGCCGCGCCAGGCAGATGTTGTAGTGCCGGTCCCAGATGTAGCCGTGCTTGTCCTCCGCGCCACTGGGGGGACAGGGGAGACATCAGAGACCACGGAGCAGCTTCCCAACTCATGACAGCCATCCCTGCCCGAGCCCCAGGCAGGGCTCCTCTGTGTCCGGCGTGCCTGCGGTACCTGGCCACGAAGTCGCGGCTGACATCCAGGAAGATGAAGAAGCACTCGTCGTTTGGCGTGAAGGCCCGGTGAGCCCGCAGGATCCGCCTCTCCTCGCGCAGCGTCTTCAGGTCAATGACATGCAGGTCAATCTCCTCCGCGATGGGGGGTGGAGACATGGGGTCAGAGATCACATAGCCCGCCGGCCACGCACGGCTGTTCACATACAGGTACCTGCGCGAACGACAGGGGGAGAGAGGGGGTGGGAGGATGAGCGGACACAGAGGAGAAGCAGGGAGACACAGAAGAACAGACCTTTACTCTCCTGATCACACGACGTAAAGACGCCCTGACCCCACCTGTGGTCAGGCGACAGGCCCATGCCAATGATGTGCCCATGGATATCAATCAAGTGATCCAGGGAATCGAAGAACTCATCCGAGCTGCGCTCCTCCCCAAGGACCGGCCCACTCGTTGCCATCTGATCTGGCATGATCCGCTTGATCCCTTAGAGAAAGGTTAACGTTCTGGGGTCAGATTGTACATAACACAGAGGTCGAAGGTGAGTTTGCCTCTCTAGTGAGGCTAATGGTCAATGCACCTACCAGATGTTTAGCACTGTACAACAGGAGTTAGTTAAGGTTATAGATAAGAGTACAACAGGCCTATAAGTGTGTGCTGTAGGACAGTGAGTCTATACCATGTACCAGCATGCCTATCAGGTACAGATCATAGATCAGAGGTTGTTCCTATCTGGTGGAGCTGTGGGTCAGAGGTCGTACCTATCTGGTGGAGCTGTGGGTCAGAGGTCGTACCTATCTGGTGTGGGGTGCAGGTCAGAGGTCGTACCTATCTGGTGCGGGCTGTAGGTCAGGCTGCCCGTGGTGAAGAGCAGGTAGATATTGTGGTCAGTTTGCGCGATGCCGTCAGCCGCTGCCAGGTCCGCAGGGCGTGTGCGCGTCTTCCCCAGAAACCGGGCCACCCTGGCCTCCAGCTGCCTCTCACTGATCACCGGGCTGCCCCTGCCCTGGGAGAGGGCACCAGCGCTGGCACGTCACTCATTACTGACGAACGCTAGCCCGCCCCCCGCCCCCTGCCCCCAGCCCCTGCAGCAACACACAGCAGCTCCAGCAGCCCGGCTCACCTCGAAGGAGGGGTCCTGCTCGGGGGGCCGAGTGCAGAGCGGCTCCGCCACCGCCCTCTCCCTCTTCTCCTCCTCCTCCTCCTCGCTGTCGGAGCCCAGGTCGAAGACCAGCGGGCCGCGGCGGGGGGGCGCGGGGGCGGCGGCCTGCGCCTCGTAGTCCAGCAGGAGGTCGGGGGAGTCGTGGCGCCGGCAGTCTGCCACCATGACGGTCCGGATGGTGCTGGCGTTGAGGTTCTGGATCTTAAAGAGCCGCTTGACCACGTTCACGTTCTCGGACTCCACATCCTGCACACAGAGAGAGGCGGCAGGATACAGAGGGAGCGGACAGGGAAGACACCGCGAGCAGTGTGTCAGGACGGCAGCTGACCTGGAAGGCCTTGTTGAGCCACAGCACGGAGCAGGAGGTCATGTTCCCAATCCAGTACAGGTTCCCCGAGATCAGGTGAGTCTCGTTCAGCCAGCAGCCAAACACATCGTACGGCTTGTTCCTCACGCGGGACAGGAGGGAGAAATCGGCTGCAGGAGAGGGAGGCAGAAGGGGCGCAGCGTGAGAGGGCAGAGGCCATCAGGCTGACCGCCGGAGGGGCAGAGGCCATCAGGCTGACCGCCGGAGGGGCAGAGGCCATCAGGCTGACCGCCGGAGGGGCAGCAGACACTCACCCAGGCTGATGACGGCGATCTCCCCTGAGGAGGAGTGGTGCGGCCCGATGTACACGCCCGAAACCAGCAGCAGAGAGTCGTCTACATTAAACTGGGAGAACTGGGTGTAGCCCCAGTTAAACTGGCGCATACTGGAACTGTGGAGCAGCGAGATCTCCAGGTTATTGCGCCAAATCTGACCAGGGGAGGAAGAGGCAGAGAATGAGGTGGAGAAAGAGCAGGGGAAAGTCTGACTGTGAGAATTACTGACAGTGACAGTGAGGGGAAGGTAGCAGCAGCACCTTGACAGTGCAGTCCTTGGAGCAGGAGGCCAGCAGGTGTCCCCGGTGAGCAAAGCTGAGGTGCAGCACCTGGTCATGATGCTCCCTCAGCGTCTGCACCTCCACGCAGGGGATACAGTCAAACAGCCTCTGGAACTCGCTGTACCAGGACTCCGCGGCTGCAGACACACACAGCGTCAGACACCGTCACACAAGCAGACTCCCAGAGCCAGACAATCAGGCACACACAGAGTCCGACTCGGGGGAAATAGGCCCACTATCAGACGACCACATGCAAAGACAGAGCCGAAGGACAGAGACACACAGGGCAGGGACGGCAGCCAGACTCATGCACAGCAGTCTGATCTCTGTCCGGTTTCACCCGCTGCAACAAACCCAAACCTCCATTCTTCACATGACCATTCCAGCGCACACCGAGTCAAAGACATCGGCTCACTGATCGAACCCGAGACATTCCCAGCTCATGGGGTGGCGGGCAGCGGCGCCGTCACTCGCGGGGTACCTGGGTGCCTGGGCACAGAGCGCGGGATGCGGTAGTAGCGGTAGAAGAGCTCGCGCCACAGGAATTCGTCCCGGGAGACAGCGTACCACTGCCGGCAGGCCAGGCCCGCGCTCAGCACGGCATCGTGGGGCAGCAGCAGGAAGATCTCGAGCAGCAGGCTGTCCGGAAGAGCGACGGGGGCACAAGCGTCCATCCTGACATCCTGACTCTCGCCGCCTGGGGGGGGGGCAGGTCAGGAGCGGAGCGGGGGAGAGACCGGAGAGGGCAGAGTGAGAGGGGGAGTTACCTGTGACTGACACAGCTCTCAGGGTGGGACACACTGTGACATGAGCCGTTACCCTGGAGACCCTAACATCGAGGGGGAGAGGGTGACAGGGGGGTCAGGCAGGAAGACAAACCCATCATGGCCGGCTGGAGACGTGGGGAAGGTGCCGCGGTGTTCAGGTGTACTGAACTCCTCAGGCACCGACCAGCTTGCGCAGGGCAGGCCCGCACTCTCACGCTCTGAGCTCAGGAGCTCCCACTCCCACTCGCGTCAGTGCGAACAGCGGTGCCCCGTGACCGAACCCATAGCAGACCGGACACACGCTTATCGCTCCATCATCAGGGGCCGTCTTGCCCCGGTCGTTTCCCGGAATCTCTAACTGACAGGAGCGGGATGGAGGGGAGCCCCTGAACGCGAGTGCTCTCTGTCGTCCGGGCTGCGGGGCGGTTTCACGGGGAGCCCACGGCCCGCATCGGAGCCTGTCCAGCACAGGTCGGCGGAATATTACTTTCGTGCGCTTCATCGAGCAGGCTCGTCGTCTCTCTCGCCATAGTTCTTAACCGCTACAGCGATACCATCTCACGCCATCGGCCCTGGTGACGCTGTCTTCCACAACTAATCAGCGTCAAAGCACGGACACTGAACGTCTCATAACTTCCACAGTAACTTTGCAAAACCGCGTTTGAAAATAGGTAAACATAACGATGTAAATGGCCGGTAGCAGCACTCGGTGCGTCTATAAGACAACGGGATCACTTTAGGACAGCGACCTTAGCAGCTTCTGTCTGCCTTGGACCTTAGTCATCTGCTTGAAATAATCGATATTTGCAGAAACACCAAAAAATAATACATTTAAGGAAAATAAGTTTCACCTCCAGCCGCCTAGCCTCCGTTGCTCCGATTGTTGGCGTTAAAGGCCCACTCAGCTGATCTCAGAGTGCTGAGATTCGCCAGGCAGTAGCAATCAATGACAGATTTTTTTTCCATTGGCCTGCTGATAATGTAAGCCCTCTATTCAGAGCTGCTCAGTACTGCTTTACCTCATTCTGATTATTCAGATATTAATTTTCCATGGCTTTCTTGCCATTAGACATTACATTAATATCCACCCTGTATCTACATTTCTCTGTCACCATGCATGGTGATAGTGTCATGTGTCACTGTTCCAGTAACAGGGTCTGGCCACCTGGCTCTGTCTGCACTGGCCAGTACGGTGGTCTGGAGGTGCACATCCACCCCTTTCATAGGCTGATGTGAGAGCTAAAATGGATGGATATTACGTAAACACCCTCCCTGACTGAGTGTATTTATACACATAGATCACCGATCTTTAATGCGCTCAGACACTGTGTGTGTTCAGACTGCTTCATGAAAACCCACAGCTGGGCTGATGATCTGTCTGCAGAGTCAGTGCCTGTGCTGTGTGGAGCGTCTGTGGGGCCCAGTGCGGTCAGGACTGCGTTCTGTTGGCTCTCTAACACTTTGTGCTGCTGTACTGAAATGCGGGGGATTGACCCATGAATACATTTTCAGCTCTGTGTCAGACAGCAACCACGGCCTGGTGGCTGTGTAAGCAATTAAACTGCACACTAATGAAGAGGCTGTGTTAATGAGGCAGATTTCTGCTCCATTCTGCAGCAGCACAAGACAACAGACACTGCAGCCATCTGTGTTGTATCTGCTCACATCCCAGACAGCAAGAAGAGCCCTGCTCCCAGTGGCTTTCAAATTCTTTATTGTACAGACGGGATGGAAATGACATCGGAATTCTGCAGAACAGTTATGAATTTAAAATATGAGTAACACTTAAAAAGGAGTTTTGTTTTTGGCACATAATATCAGGAGTACTGATCAATTTGGAAAAAACAAATACCAGTTTACAGCCATTATTCATAGTTCCCAGGACAAATAGGACAAACAGGACAAAAGCGGGCAAGAACATCGGCCACCCGTGACTCAGCGCAGCCCCGTCTTCCTCCCTGGGGCCGCAGTGCTGGAGTCCGTGTGAGTCAGCGCTCGTCCGGCCTGTGGAAACCCAGGACTCGTGACACAGTGAGCATCCCAAAACCACACAAGAGGAACTGCACTGTTGAAAAAACAACAAAATAAAATAATTTACTGGTAAAACATTATTGAGGTGTTCCTGAAAATAAAAGAAGCCCCTAAACCGTGCGTTTGTGTTGTAACAGTGGTAAAATGCGAGGGAGGAGGGAGACAGCTGACACACAGACCTGTCCTGGCTGGGCAGACTGGGGGAGACGGGGGGGAGACAGGGGAGATGCACACAGAGAGCAGGGAGGTCGAAAGACGCAGACGGACGCACATCATTCAGATCCTCCCTGGGCAGTGCCCTTCGCTGCCTGCCCATGGCCATGCCTGGGGGCAGGCTACACCGGGCAGCAGGGCACACTGCTGTCCAGCAGGGCACTCTGGACCAGCTGGCAGGGACAGGCAGTGAGGGAGAGGCCGGCGTGGGACTGGCTGGGAGCCGAGGGGAGATGTCCCAGGACCAGCAGTCGGACGTACACTCCGGACCACGACAGCAGGAGACACTCCGCCAGCTCCTGAGCGACAGAACAGCTTCAGAGGCGCACAGACAAGCTCACAGAGGAACAGAGAGGGGGAATTGGGATGGAGCATCAGCTGATCTGTTTCCAGGGTGATCCTTACCTGTGGTGTCCCATTGGGTATCAGACGCACACACTGAGTGACGGACAGCTGCTTGGCACCTCCCCCTCTGCCCACACTGGCCAGCAGGGGCACCTCCTCTGTAAGCCCCGCCTTCCCCTCCTCTTTCAATTGGCTGGAAGAGCCGGTGACCACCACACACACTTGGCTCAGACGGCTCTGCAGCTCCAGCTGGAAACAAAGGGGGAGCGACACACTCACAGCACACAAACAGGAAACCTGCGCACCCGCAGGTACAGGACAACACTTAAAGCCCTTAGTTGTCTAGTTTTTGAAAGCCCTGTTGCAGCATCAGTGCTGTGATAATGGCACCGTGACAGCAGTCAGATTCACTGGGGTGTGTCCCTGCCTCACCTGATGAGAGCTGCTCCAGTGCTCCATCAGCTCAGCGAGGGCCTGTCTGCACGGACAGAGGTCAAAGTGCACCATCCACAGCTGAGGGCGTTAAGAAAGATTCTCTTCCCGATGGAGCTGTCAGCCTGAGCCACGTCAACTGGCCTATTCTCATCCTCCTTTCAGCCTTCTCCCTCGTCCTCCTCGTCCTTCCCTCTTTCCATCTCTCCCCACGTGTGAATCCTCCTCCCCACATCCTGCCCCGTGTCCCTGCTCTTCCTGCCCCTCCGCTACACCCTCCCTCTGGATCTACTCCCTCGCTCCCCGCGATGTGGGATACTCTCAGCGCAGTCGGGTGTCGGTCTGTGCAGCCTGTCAGTCCTGCCAGCAGGTTGTGTTTGAGCAGCTTCTCATTGACAGCCGCCATCCTGACATCGGTGTTGACGTTCAGCTGGGAGAGAGGGAGAGGGGGAGAGGCTGGGGTCAGAACCACTCGGACACACTCACCCGGACCGGCTTGGACAGGTGAAGGATACCTGTGAGCGGCGCCGGTGCAAAATGAGCAGCCCTCCTGCTGTGCCCAGCGCTGACGCCAGGCTGACCCACACCCCCAGTGACCAGTGCATCGCCACGCCAAGCGCCCGCAGACTGCAGTACAGGTTCAGCCACAGGCACACATAGCACACCTGAACAGGTCAAAGGGCTCAAGGTCAGCGAGATGTCTGCACATTACAGGCCTGGCCCGGCCTTCTTAATGCAATCAGAACCTAGGAAAGTTGCAACACACTGACCCGGCAGGACAAATTCTCCCCTGTCCTGGTCCTCCCCTGCCTCCATTTCTGATCTCTTCCCCCGTTTCCTTCTGCCCCCCGTCTCCCTGTCCCCCCACCCCCACCCCCACCATCCCTCAGTTCTGCCCACTGTCTGCCTCAGAGCCATGGGTCTGCTGGGCAGAGACTCACCAGGGCAAGAGCGGCGGTGAAGAGCCGCGAGGTGAGGAAGATGTAGCGCCGGATCTCCAGGTCCTGGAGCACCCCCTGCAGGTCGGCGCTCAGCTCTGCGCTGGTCACCTGGCAATAGTGCACAGCAGACAGCAGGCTGTACACACTCTGGACACACAGCACTACCTGCACAGCAGTCAGCGTCTGGTGGGGAGTTTCTCATTAAAACCGCATACCTGCCACCGGCCTTCACATCAGCAGCCCTTCTCAGGGTGATGGTGTCTTTTAAGAGTCACTAGGGGATTCATAATGTGAGAAAACCCACGTGTTCAAGCAGACTTCTTCTTCAGACTGCACTCGCAACACCTTTCTGGGTTTTAGCGCTTCAGGTGATACGAGGTTCGCGCTGTACGTGTGGTGTGTGCTGGTCTCTCGGTGTGTGAGCTCACCTGTATGCCCCTGTCTCTCAGTATCCTTGTCCCTGCCTCCAGGTTGAAGCCAGGACCCGCGCTGCCCAAGATATTGCCTGTCAGCCCCAGGACCACCTGCCCACTCTGCAGCTCTGAAACATGTCCACACAGGTACGCTGTACACAGCTATTTTCACTGGCTGCTCCAACGCCCCACCCCACACGCCGTCTTCTTACCTGGCTCCCAGCGGAGCACCCCCTCCTGGTCATCTTGGGCCTTGCAATAGAATGGGCCTGCCCCTCCTCCCCTCCCCTGCCCTGCAGAGCTCTGGGAACAGAATGATGGGCCCGTGGCGACCCGGAGAGGTCAGGACACTGAGGAAGCACTGGCACCAGGTGAAAGTCCATGCTGCTGTGTGGGACAGTCTGGGAGTAGAGAGCTGTCTGAGGTTGATTGAGGGTGTCTGAGGGTGATTGAGGGTGTCTGAGGATGACTGAGGGTGTCTTGGGGAGTATGAGAGTATCTTGGGGAGTATGAGGGTATCTGTGGCTGTTTATGAGGTGTCCAACGAGTCTGTGAGTGTTTTCCAAAGGAATCTGGAAAGATTTCCGAATGGTGGTCTATTTTCTTCTGTTGTGCTCAGAATCTAGATTAACATCACAGATCTCTCAGATTCGAAGAGATTATGAAGTAGCTGCAGGTCTGTATATCCCTATGCAATTCAGAAAGTGGCCACCCTCCGATTTGCAACCCGAGACGGTTCGTGTGTTTATCGGTTTTGAGGAGTAAAGCTTGGCTAAGCACGAAGAGGTTCTAAAATTTCTCCTGTAAACAAATGACAAGTTTTGGAATGCATGAATAACATTGAGATAATGTTGACAGATAGATGCGAGTATGCATTTACAGATAATTATTCAGATCGCCTCTAAATGCCCTGCAGTATTTTTAAGTGAACGACATTTACAGCGCTAAAATACATCCTAAGTATGTATTTGACGCTTTTATTAGCAGACCATTCTTAAAATTAAAGGTACGATGGATTGGTCAGCACTGTAATGCGACTATAACAGTTCAGTGTTAAGTCTTGTGTGAATTTCCAAATTAGGTTTTGGCATCGAAAATAATACTAATTTCGTGGGTTTCATACGAGTTCACCAATGAAAGGAGTACACAAGCAATACATTTTCGAGAATATGGTTAAAAATTAAAAGAAAACACCTAACCCAATGAACTATCTCCACCCTAAATGTAAGACTGTTAATTCGGGTAAAGGCTGCAAAGTCTGGGGTCAACTGATCAAAAGATCACAACTGAAAGATCTGGTGGTCGTGCCTTTGCAGTTTTGTACGTCACAGAGTGACGTCACAGCCAGGAAAAGAAGGCGCTATATTGAAATATATTTAAACATCCACCCCACCCGACCAGACAGGCCCGGAAAACGAATTGACCCCATTATTTTCATCACAATCAAGAGTTCAAGTACCGAGTTTGTTGGTACCTGTAAACGTCCTTGTAGATAGTCAGGTGATTACCCGAAAAAACAAGGCGCTATATCTCGCAAACGAAAGCAGCACAAACGCTACTTACAGCGACTCAAACCGGCACTAACGAATGAGGAAGGTTTCATCGTTTGTGCTGTCTGTAGGGGGGGAAACTTCACGGAGCTCAAGGAAAACCCTGCATGGTATTTTAAATACAGTATTTCGGACGGATTTTGAATCTTGAGGTTTTTGCGTTGTGTTCATTGTGTTTTGCAATAAAATATTAACTTCAGAGTAACTCTTAAAACCACTGAACAATCTAAAAGCAGGCATACGAAAAAATTAGAACTGTTACAAGCAACACGTGAAAATGAGCTCTTGCAGCTGTTCTTCAGCTATAGACAAAGTCCTCATATGAGAGACCTTTGCAAACCATTTGTTTTTGAACCGGATTCTATCAATTGCAATTTGTAACTTCAGAACTAATCCAACACCAGAGCACAGATGTCTGCAGCAAGGCGGCACGCCGGGAGACTGGAAGACATGTCTCTGGGAGCAGTAGTTCAAGCAAACCGACAGTCCCTTAATGGACGCTGTCTTGAACGTACTGCAGTAAATGTTCAAAACACTTATGTATTCCACATATTGTGAAAGGTAACTGTGGGAATCATTTAAGTCGGTTTAAAAAAAGTATATATTATAAGCTACTAGACCAAAAGTTTGCTTTAAACAAGCAGCTGCCATTTCCCTGATCTGTGTCTTTCGATAAATGTTTCACCAACACATTTTCACTGGATAAACCAAACAAACACGGTTTAACAGCGACACCTCACCATGACCGTCAGCGACTGATTCTCCTTATTCTCCGGGACGAGACGATCCCGGAATTCTGCAGATCGGTCCGCTCAGCACTACAAACACAGCGGGACGATTTAAACAGAGTGCATTTCAAACCACAGGCAATACCTTCTGCTCCTAAAGGCAGCCAGAGGTCTAACAGGGCTGCGGAATCTCTCGACCTCCTGCGAGCCAGGCGCGAGGGCGGGGGCAGACAGGCGTTTGGAGAAAGAGGGCTCTGTAGGGCGTCATTATGATTGTGGTACAATGCTGCAGGATATATTTAACCGGTGTTTAAGAACACCACGACGGCTCCTTGCCTCTTGTGTCAGAATCCCTAGTGTGCTGAGAAACTTCAACGTTACCTCGTAATGATTTGTCCCCATTCGCGGGCGGTCTGTCTATGCACCGCTCCGGGGTTATTTACTAACTTATTGAGGGGTCACATCTCTCTCCCAAGAAACAGGAATGTTTAAGGAAGACACAAAAGGATCGTTTTAAATAATTTTATTTAAGGAGGAACAGGACCAAAAATCAAAAGGCAGAACCTGTATTTTTTACAGCAGATTGTAAAGAGCACTAGACTCCACGGAGCACAAAACAACACAGCCACCCCCACACCACTGGCCATTGCTACAAGCAGCTCCTTGATTCCCAGGTGCTGGTGGTGCCGAGGTTGGGTGAAAGAGCAGCTCGGAGGGGCTGCAGACAGAGCTCCCCGGATCACGGGGGACAGGAGGTTCGGGTTCGAACAGAGGAGCTGTACGCAGAGAGCACAAATCTGAACCGTCTCACTCCACTCATGTGGACAACAGCATTAAGGATCAGGATCTCTTTTGAATTTTATGGTAATGAAAACAATGAAATAAACAACTTTTTATATATATATATGAAATAAAAACGACAGCACTTTCTGCGACGGAACAAGCACGCACACACAGATATTACTAGCATACTAACACCCACCCTAATGATTCTACACAGCTAGGAGGCCCAGGGCTTGGATGGCTATCAGTCTCCCAGGGCACAGCAGTCTGAGCGTGTCCCGACTTCACCAGCAGCTGGGCTCTGTACAGAGCTCCCACTGAAACAGAAGCCAGTACTCCTGTGGAGTCCATTTCGATCTTGCTACTGTGTTGCAATTTGCACTTCCTCTGTGTGAAAAGTAGTCGAATGGACGTTACTGTAGCCCCACAGGCCTAAGCAAATTGTCTCACAACAAGCTGCAGCTGGGGCAGAGGGAGCCCCGAGGCTGGTGCAGCCTGGACGGGCTCAGACTGCTGCGCTCTGAAAGCGGTCAGGCCATCCCGACAGCAGCGTCTGTCCTGGCAGCGCTGAAGTGCTGGTCTGGGCCGGACCGGGCCAGGAGGAGCCCCTGGGCTAGGGCACTAGCCGTTGATGCGGTAGTTGGTATGGATCTCAGGCTTGATCTCGCAGACCAGCGAGAGCAGGCTGGCCAGCACAGCTTCACGGTTCTGCTGGAAGCTGTTCTGGATCTTCTGCATTTTGTCCAGAGTCTCCTTGTCCACCTCCACCGCCGAGTTCCCGTGGGATCCCAGGGCCTGGGAGACAGAGGGACATGAGGTGAGGCGCTCTCCACTGCCACTGGGAGGTGCAGCTGTTTTGACAAGCTGGCAGTTTGCACAAAGGAACCTAAAGATGTTAATATGACGATGAAAAGGAAAATGTAATAAATGTTTTAGCACTAAAACCTCATGAGGTACATAGAAGATGCCACCACAGCTAAAATACTTTTTTTTTCTTTTTCCTGTTCTGCTACTTTCTTTGCAGTGTGTGTTCTGACAGACTTTAAGAGCACAAGGTCATGTGGTGCTCCATCATCTGCTACTCCTGATGTGGGGGTGCAGGAGTGCTGGGGGCAGGGGTACAAGGGTACCAACAGAAACCCCAAAACATTTAAATCAACTGTCTGAACACATTCAGTGTACAGAAATCTAGAAAGCGACCCAACACAGAGAGCTGGGGCAGCACTGCGTTCTCCATGCAGCTCTGTTGGGCAACTGAGAGCCAGACAGGATAGACGACGGCTCTGGGGTACCCCAGGAGCAGGGCTGAGGGGAACCCCGCCGCGAGGAGCCTCAGTCATACCGCGGCCTCCTTGGTCTTGAACTCCTTCTCCCTCTGCAGGCGGTACTGCTCGATCTCAGCCTGCGCCTCCTCCTTCGCCTGCTTCAGACGCCGGTTCTTCCCTGGGGAGGGGCAGGCTGGGTTAGGCACCGGACTCACACCTTTATCATGCCACTGGACATGTATACTGAGAAAAGACTGTTGTAACAACAAGCTGCAGAGTATCCCTTCAGAGGACAGTCTGAGCTGCTCCCTGACACGGGTGCTGTGCCTGTCAACACCACAGGCCAGACCTTTGACACCTGTTTCTGTTTTTGAGCAAATCTGGCCGTGCAAATATTTGGACTCCAAACAGCACCTGTATACATACAAACACACGGCCACTTCCCTGGTCAGCTGCCAGCAGCTGGGGAAAACCTGACCAGGGTGGAAACGCGTTGGCTTGCCTGAGTAACCACTGCCCAGCCCCTCAGCACAAAGAGGAACTGGAAAAAGAGCCACAGTGACGGCAAACTGCTGGTCTGGAGAAGAAACTGCGCTTTCTAACGAGAGAGAGGCTGGGAGGGAGAGGGGAGAATGGACAGAGCAGGTGGAGCAGAAGGCTGAGACAGAGACACAAAAAGAGACAGGGGTGACCTGGCGACAGGGCGCAGAGATGTGCTGCCGAGAGGAACGCCAGCTGTTCTTGCTGAAAGATTTCTTCATAATCAGTTCTGTCTAACCTGAATGCATCAGTGTCCATTCAGCCCAGTAAGAAAGGCAATGTTTATGCTCTGGTTCTCCTAGACCGGCGTTATCAGATCTCAGGGCTGAGCCTCGCTGCAAGACTGAAACGTGGCCCCTAAGCCAGATTCTAGATCACACGCCTTCCAGCAAAGATGAAGAGACTTTACACCAGTTTTACTCTCTGTAAAAGCTTTCAGTAAAGCTTTAACATCTGCTTCTGACGACTAAACGACTCGTGTTAAGAGCCCCGAATAGCTCTACAGCTGCTAAACTGATCAGAATATTTACATAAAAGCCCAGGGTCTCACTCCGGAGATCCGGTGACCTTGGATCTCATTCATAACCCGTCCTCGTCAGATCACAGCATCACTACACAGTTACTAACATCTGTCACCGATCTCAATGAGAATTTATGACCGCTCGGGTCGGGCCTGCGAACGCTCTTTCCCAGACCGTCTCTGCCCACCCCGATGTCTCATTTTCTCCGGATTTCACTCACGTTTGCGGGCCTCGGCGACCTTCTCTGCCGCCCGTTTCTCGGCCTGGAGCAGCTGCTGGATGCCCTGAGACTGGCTGGCCATGGCTGGAGAGGACAGCGGTGTGCAGCAGACGGGGAGCCGGGGTGAACGGAGTCGGTGTTGCAGCTGCTGTGTCTGAGCGACTGCGGCGCAGGGAAGGGAGTCAGCTGACCCAGGGCTCCTCACGTGACCCGCGTTGCGTCAGAACTTCCCAGCATGCGTCACCCGTCACCGATCGGCTGCGTTTTTCCACTAACACGTCCCATCAGCACTAGACAGCTTGACAGTGACTCACTCTACTGTTTGACTATTATTAAAGCACAGACAAACCCTATCCCAAACCACATTAAACACACTGGTGCACTAAGACCTGTCAAAACTGGGCTTTTCTCATTCCAGCCTGCACCCCTTTGTCATTTAGACCACGCCTGGAGGTCCACAGCAGCTCCCTGGGACCAGGTCATCACCTGTGCCCCAGGAGACGTGGGCAAGATCCTCATGTGCAGAACCGTGAATCATGACCACCATCACGCTGCCTGGTGGGTTCAAAGTCCACAGGCTGCAATGCTGCTGTGTTACACTACTTCACTCCTGGAAGCAGAGGCCCGGTCAGAAGGATGGCCTATAGCCTGAACTACGCAGTTAGTTGTTTTACATGGTTTTAAGTGTCACAGAGCAGTTTCAGCTCCTGGTAAACACCAGGAGTGTGGAGCAGACCAGCTTCTACAGGGTGGAGACCTGTAGGTCAATACAGGACAACAGCACAGAGCTGGAGCCACATTCCCAGACTGGAATAGCAGCCAGCTGTTCTGGACACAGAATAACCACCCTCCCCAGTCTCTATAACCAGACCCACTGTTCGTTCTATTCAGAACAAGGGAAAAGCAGAAAGAAAAAGATCAGAAGAAACAGTTTCTTGTGAGCAGGGGTGAGTC